ACCTCATATATATATATATGAGGTTTCTCACAAATGATTTTTTTTATTATTTCTTACATAATTAAAAGTTTCAAGTATTGCTTAGAGGATATTAGTAGCACTTTTCACATGTGGATCTCTTACACTTCATACTCCATATAAGTTTAGAATGAGTTGTTTGGGAATAGTTTCTTGTTCACTAAGGATACATGTATAAGTAATCAAATGACTATCACGTGATTTGAGTTTTCTTGCCAAAATGTTAAATTTTAAAATTAATGAAAGAATGGTATATCTAAAAAAATATTCTAGAAAAGGTGATAGTTTTGAAAAAGAGTAATGTTATTCATCCCTACTGGAGATGAAAACACAGTCTGTGATTTTAAATGATAGATTAAATGAAAAGTGACCTATCATTTAATGTTATATTAACGTCATGTAAACTATATTTTCATCCCCAGTAAAGATGAACAACATTACTCTTGAAAAAAAAAAGGGCGCTTGAAGTGCGCCCAAAAGGCACTCGAGCATGAATTCAAGCGATGGACCGCTCTCCAAAGGCGGTTGAGCGGTCCATTGGAATTTTAGCTCGAGCGGATGCCTTTAAACTATTATTTTCCTTCTATTTTTTTCTTATTTCAGTACTCTTCATCAAATCTTTCCCAAATCTTCTAACATCGAATTCATATTAGCTAAGTGGCATATTAGCATCAATCTTGTGTGGAGAATAATCACAATTATCACATTCAACAAATTCATCAAATTCAAAGGTAAAATTCAATTTTCCCCTATTTTTGTAATAAACGTCCTATGTGAGGTTTTAGGTGATTTAGTGGGTTTTGCATCGATTTGTTGAAAGTTTAGGTTTGATTAACAACGGGTTAAGGGAGATTTGTGATTTCTTGTGGATGATTGAATCAATTTTCCAAAGATTTACCCAAATTTTCAAAACTTCATATGTAAAGGTTTAAGTGATTTTGTGGAATTTGCATTGATTTGTTAGATACTTAGGCCATATTGTGATTGCATTAGGGATAGTGAATAAGTTCATAGTGTTCATTGTGTTGATTGTCCCAGATTTTAGTTGAGTTTTGAAGGATGCTTGAACGAACTTGAGTGATCGAGTCGATCGAGTGGTCAATTAATAAATAAATAAATAATCCCCCTCCTTCTCATTGTAGCGTAAGCCATACATGCATTATCATGAATTTGACATCATTCTTGTGTATGCTCATCTACTTACACTGATTCAGGTGAAAATTCAACGATTTCACATATTCTCAATATCCGTCGGGTCATATATCCTCAGTTTCAGTACTTGAGTCTTGCTAATATTCATTTTCATACTCTCTTAGCATATACTCTATTTTACCGTCCGGTAGACATTGGCCAGGGACCGATTGTCACAGGTGCTTTACTCGCTGAGCGACAGGTCCTTCTAAACATTCAATGCACAAACTTATGGCCTATTTCCCATAAGTCTTTCCTACCTCTAGATCAGGCCAGACTACTTTATGCCCTTTTTCCCATGGCGACTCCATTGATCTCCCTTCTTTCATTATATATCGTAGGTTGAACATATTCGGTCGTAGAAATAAAAAGAAAGGTTTACCATACAGATGTCTGATACAGAGCCTAGGATCGGTGTTAGAGTTCAGTTTTCCTGAGTCTCCTAAGAGATTGGGATCGCCTATTGGCCAACTCACTATTGTTCAGAGTCGATCACATGCCCTACCATCTGCTCTTATTCCTGTTAACGTTCCATCTTCCTTTTAGGACCTCTACTATCTACTTCTGCCCCCATTCCTCCATCTTTCTCTTCTGGTCCTATTGACTCCTCTGTTGCTATTATGGACTAGTTATCTTTTATTATGGAGCAGCAGGCTCGTATGATGGACGATATTACATTATTGCGATCCACGTCTGACCGACTTACAGTAGATGTTTCTTTACTTCAGACTGATGTACAGTAGTGGTAGTAGTATTAATTTAACACTTTATGATGACTAGTATGT